CTTTTATATTTAATCTTACAATAGGGAAATTAATTCAAGAGAAATGTGGCATGAAGCAGTTGCTAAGAGTTGGTCTCTCCTGAACCATGTAATCTCCCAATCAAGATGTAAACAACCCATTCAGAATCCTGCAACTTGAGAATGGGCTGAAAGGGATCTTCAGAAAATGTCTCTAATAAGCGATGGGGGAGTGGGTGGAGGAAGTGTGAGCACAGAGCTGCAAGGTTTAGGGGTCTGTTTGTAAAGGCCACCCTGAAACACAGGGCGGAGGGAGAGTCCAGGCAACACCGCAGGGGCGTGCAGAAATGCGCTTCGTGGAATATTTTGTTCAGATACCTTGATTAAGCGTTTTATGTAACTGGACTTAAAAATAAAAGAGTCGTGGGCCAGTGGGATGGCTCAGGGCATAAAGGCGCTTGCCATCGAGACTGAGTTCCACCCCCAGGATGGACATGGTGCAAGGCAATAACTGACTTCAGTAAGTTGTCCTCTAATCTCCGTAGCCATGTGGCGTACTCCCACCACCCCACACCGTACCTATGCATGTTCTTGCGTGCACATGTGCACACACACACACACACACACACATACACACACACACACACACACACACACACACATTTGTATATATAGATTCCCAAACAGTCAAAGAGACCCTCATCTTTTCCCAAGAGGAGAGAACCTTTTTTTAAGAAAACCCCTCTTCCTCCTTGTTAATCTCCCTCAGTTACCTGCCATTTCCTAAAAATGTGGTCAGCATCTGCGAGGCAGAGTGGAGTCACTTTGAAATCGTTTCTTTGAAATTATTTTTTGAAAACAAAGCAATTGTGCTTCCCCAATTTTTTTTTAAAGCTAGTATGTTAGTAGACATAGATTATTAATGGTGTAAAGGAGGAGTCCAGGGATTCATTTCACAACAAGTGAAGATTTTATTTTAGGCTTTGTGTAGGGAAAGCACGATGGGAGAGACGAGGGTGAGTGCATGGCATTCCAAGACCGTGTGGGGGAGGGCTAAGAGGCTTATTTACTAACTTCTTGTTCATGAGAAGATGCTTCTACAGTTTCCTTTGAACCACATGAAGCATAAAATAGCTTTTAAAGAAACATACTTAAAAGTGTAACGGGACCCTTCCACAGAGATTTGAGGTTTTTGAATTATGTCAAGGGAAAGTAAAGCCGTTTCTAGTGATATATTCGACTTCTCTCACCGATTTCTCTTTTAATTTTTAAATGGCAGGTGATTAAAATGGCGTATTTGCAGTTTTCAATATGAATTATTGAGACAATCGGGTGGTGGTGGCGCACGCCTTTAATCCTAACACTCAGGAAGCAGAAGCAGGCGAATCTTTGTGACTTTGAGGCCAGCCTAGTCGACAGAGCAAGTTCCAGGGTAGCCAAGACTACCCAGAGAAATCATCTCAAAAGAATAATACACACACATGCACACGCACACGCAAATGCACACGCACACACATGCACACGCAAATGCACACGCACACACACAATGCAAATTACTGAGACAAATAACATGATAATTATTTGTTAGTCTTTCTTCCCGTCTCCTCCAGTCCTCCTTCTCTTTGTTTTCTTTCTTTTCTTTTGAGAATGGGTTTCTCTATGTAGCTCAGACTGATTTTAATTTTTCAGTTTTCCTGCCTTAGCCTTCTGAGAGCCGGGACTTTAGTCCCGTGCCAGCGCTCCCTGCTTTCCAGTCCTTAAGATATGAGGATCACCATGAGAATAGACATTTGTGTCCAGTGCCACCCTGTTGGGCTGCATCAAGAAATGAAAGGGGCCAGGTTTCAAGTTCTCTTTCTTCCTTCACACCAGTCACAGGGCTGTGGAGCAAGGCCATTCCTAGGGGGAAGCAGTTACTTAAGTCATTGTTTCTCCATTTGTTTGTTTAAGACAAGATCTCTCTACACAGCCTTGGCTGTCCTGAAACTCCCTATGTAAACTAGGCTGGTCTTGAGCTCATAGAGATCTACTTGCCTCTGCCTCTAGAGTACAGGAATTAGAGGTGTGTCCTTTGCAAATACTTAAGAGTCTTAAAGGCTGTCTATCCATTGTCCTGACTACAGCTGTATCTTCTCTATCTTCCAATAGCTATATCTCAAGTTCTTAAAGTGAAATTTTGTTTTTTTTTTTCCTGTAACACAAATGCTGCTGCAAAAAGTTGCTGCATGAAGACACTCATAAGCTGAACTTTTGGCTAATGTTTCCCATCTTTTAAGACTCTGAGTAGGCATGACTTTAATCCAAAATGTGGGAGGCAGAGGCAGGTAGAGGCTTGAGACGGGCCGGGTCTACATAGTGAATTTCAGGACAGCCAGGCTATATATGGAGATCCTGTCTCAAACAAATAAACAACAAACAAAAGAAAAAGAAAAAAAAATCTCCCATTTTGTTTCCTCCTCCTTTTGGAAAAAGTTACTACTGTTTCCTTCAAAGTTATACAGCAAGAAATGTGTGGCAGGGGATTTGAAAACGTTTATTACAAAAGTATATTTGTATAGCGCACGGAAGAGCCACAAACGCCTCAGGGGGAAGAAGAGGAGGGAGAGTCCTGAAGGTGTAAGGCATCCAGGAAATAATTTAAATACATTCTTAGTTACATTTGAAAATTTCAAATGGAATGAACTTAACAACAGTGTTGGACAGGATCCCATTAGAAGCCATGCTCTAGTGATTGTCTTCCTGTTGCTGTGAGCCTATTGATTGGCTCTTCATTTTGTTAAAGTCACTTGCTTGCAATCTCCAAGCCTGGCTTGGCTACCTGATGATCAAACTTCCAATTTGATTTATTTTTTATTTCTTTGCACACTTTACCATATAGCTTCCTGTGCTGCTTTGCCTTGCTCTTGCCTGCCTTCTATGAGTTCCTATCAGCAATTAAAAGGGAGCGCAGGGAGGCGAGGGGCCTTTGGATGGAGAAAGGCAATAGCATCTCTCGGGGATGGTGTCGTGTGGCTTCCTGAAGATGGATCAGTTTTAAACTTTATCAAGATTTTGTTTACTTCTAAGGTTATGCAAACTTTCCCCAAAGGAAGTTATGGGACCTTGTTGTCTAATTGGAGTACGAAGGCTTTGTGGGGTGTATGACTGCCTTTCTAAACCCTGCGATAGAGGCCTCAGACCCAGAAGTCTGTTGCCCGGATTGCCTGCCTGTAAACCTAACTTTGTGCTTAGCATGGAGGACTGTGGTCTGGGTTGGTTTTTATTTCGGCAAGACCTTGACAGACTGTTGTGCAGCTATAGTGTGCCTGATTTATATACGTTCTTAGTAGGACCTTCTTTTCAGGGAGGATTCTTCACCCACTAGTAGATTTCTTCTGCAGTTGCTTTTTGAGAAAAGTCACTTTCTCTCTTATGTGGATGTTTTCTAGTTTTGTATTAGTTGTCCACTGCCATTTCATGATGAAAGGGTTGGGAGGGTAAAGTGCGTATGAGTTTGGGAAAAACTTCCTGGGTCTGATCTGATTGTTTCTGTTCTGTGATTACTGCTTCTTAAGGTGCCATTCTCTGGAGTCATTTAGAGCCCTAAAAAATCCCCACGTGTGTTTTTAAAAACAAACAAAAACAAAAACACAACACTTATCTGTAAACTGCGAATCTGTGAAGGAAGAAATGAGCAGATATTAGACGTAAGTGCTAGGAGAATCTTCAGATTTGCTTGGCTTTTTTGAGACAAGGTCTCACGTTATAGAATAAGCCAGTCTCCAGCTCAGGACAATTCTCCTGCCTCCACGTCTGAGGGCTTGGACTGTGGTCCTTAGCCACTGTGCCCGCCTGAAGAATCCTTGACCATTTGCTTGACGCCCCTGCTTCCAGGCAGTGCTGGGCCGGAAAGCAGCAAGCGTCATAGCTCTCCGTTGACTTTTCTCACAAATCAATGGGGAAAAGTGAGACAGCAGCGTGGATATAATGAGGAGAGCACAAGGGAACGCCGGGGCAGGGGAGTGACTTCTAGTTGCTCACTCATGAATGAAAGAAGCTGTTTGGAGAGGCAACATGGTGAACAAAAAAGACATTGAGGTCTCAGGATACATACACAAAAACTTGACTCCAGAGTGTGTGGGGGTGTTCAAACTCAGGGATTTCTATGTCAGGCAATCACTTTGAAGGTACATCTTTAGCCCCAACTTCTAATTCACACACACATACATACACACACATTATATAAATGTACACACACACATATACACATGAACACATACATATATGTGTGTGCACATGTACAATATACATATATAGATGCACACACATATACACATGAACACAAATATATAAATATATGCACACATATATGTATATATAAAACACATGAACACAAAGCATACATATGTATTACATACACACATATGTGCACACACATATACATGTACACATATACAAACACACCTATTAATACATACATATATAGCACACATATGTGCATGCACACACACAAGCATGTGTACAAGTGACTTTTTAATTGCCTGGCTGGGATTAAAACTGCATGATAGAGTACTTGCTGAGAATGTATAAGTCCAGGAGTCCAATCCCCAGAAACACACATGCACACATACATACAGAAATGCACGCGCACACACATGTACACACACACAACCATTTGGGTGTCCAGATGTATGATATTAGGAGTTTTTCTGTATAGACTGATCCAATGTCTCTGTCTCTGTTGCTCACGTCTTTTCTTTGAAATTCCAGTCTGATGTTATCACAGTGGACGGACGTGGTGTAATCTCTCTTTCTCTGTCTTCCTCCACTCCTCCCTTCTTGTCCTTCTCCCTCCCCTTCCTTTTTCTGAGACTGCAGTCAGATGTTATCATTGGGTGAGGTCATGTGGCTGCCGCTTTGAATCGAGGTCAAAGTCCTCAGAACCATTCCTCGATAGATTTCCAAAGGCATAAAAGTTGGCCTCTCAAGATCTTTCGATGGGTCTGGCCTGCCATCTGTTTCTGCCCACACTTTAACTTCTTCCAATCTGCCTGTTATTGCAGGTAATGGGACTTCTGACCAACCACGGCGGGGTACCACACCAGCCTCAGACCGACTATGCTCTCTCCCCTCTCACTGGGGGCCTGGAACCCACGACCACGGTGTCAGCCAGCTGCAGTCAGAGACTGGAACATATGAAGAATGTGGACAGTCTGCCCACATCTCAGCCCTACTGTCCCCCAACCTATAGCACCACAGGCTACAGTATGGACCCTGTCACAGGCTACCAGTATGGGCAGTATGGACAAAGTAAGCCTTGGACGTTCTAGGGGGTAATTCCCCCTGGAAGGGAGACAGATCACCTCTGTCTGAGAAAGGGGAACTGGACGCATGATTAAGTCTTTCATCCCAGTATCAGTTTGGTGGCAAAGCTGGCTGATTGCTCCAGCACGGGCTCCCTTGTGTAATTATTTTCTTAACTGATGTCAATAACATCTTGCAGTTATTAATTGCTGGGACGTAAAGCCGGATTGTCAGTAGGTAAAACACAGAGGTTGGCCAAAATGAAATAACCTCTGGCATTAGAAACACATGTTCTTAATGAGGTCAGCGCCAGGATCATATGGGGATAAGCCCAGGACACAGAGTTGTGTCAAACTTGTCTCAGGAATAAAAATATTAGTCTCGATCCTTTGATACCGTGGTATTAAATATGACATCGTCAGCCTGTAGCTGATCTTGCCCCTGACTGTGAATTGTCCCAGCGTGACCTAAAAAGCTGCGTGTGTTTCCTTACAGGTGCCTTTCATTATCTCAAGCCAGATATTGCGTAACTGAGCTGTCCACTTGGAGCTAAGCTGGCCCTGTTTCCGGCCTCCACAGACTAGACATGAAGAATCTTCTCAGAAAAAAAAAACCCACAAAAAAAACAAACAAAAATAAATAAAATAAAAAATATCAGCCTTTGGGGGAGGTGGAGACAAAAGAAAGTGATTGATTTTCTTTCTCCAGTAGTCGGTTTCAGATTCTTTGAACACTTTGGAAAAATGGCAGCAGAGATGAGGAAGGCCCACTGCTATAAAATGCACCGTTTTAAGCCAGTGACTGGCTAAATAGCTAAATGTCCCCAACCCTTTGTTGTTGATCAAGAAGCTAAAACATTCCATGTGCGCATGTGTGTGCGTGCGTGCATGCGTGTGTGTGACAGAGAGAGTTACGTGAACTGGTCTGAGCAAGCATAATGTTCTCATATATCATAGTTGAATTCTTGAAATCGAACAGGTTTGATGACCAAGGCTGACCAGGTTTATGACACGCATCCTGCTTACGTAATGAATCGGGGATGGAGGAATCCTTGACTTCGACACACTGGAAACTGATAGGAAAATCAACACCACCGTTTCATAGGAAGCTAGACTAGAGGTGAAGGATCTCCCCAATAAATTATTGCCATTCCCTCATTTGTAACCTAGTTGTCAATCAGTGTCCCAGATATGTCTCATAAAAAAATGTAGGATAATGAGAATAAGTGTGTCCTGCTGTGGGGATAGATCGACAGTGTCTCATTCCCAAGACACAGCCATCGGGATCCAGTCTGGGTGGGGGGAAGGGCATGATGGAGAGGAAGAGACATCTATCACGTATCTACTTCTCAGCGTGCAATACTGTGTACCTCACAGACACTTTGGCCGTGGCCACGGTGATAGAAATGAAGTCAGAACTCTATTTTTGCAGGTGTTTTTATTTTTGCAGCCTGTAACTCATTGTGGTAGAATGCAGTGATGTTTGCTCTTGCCAAATCGCCAATGCCCCCACCCGCTTGCTCCTTTTGCTCAAAGACCGCGTCCGAGAATTAAGCTTCCCACAGTGATGCCGTTTACATTCGTCTCTTTTCTACAAAAGGCAGGGTGAGAACAGAAATGTCCATGTGGCTCTCATGTACTTTTAAATTATACAATGATACCCAATCTTAAAGGATGATAGGGAACAGAGGTTTACATACATTTATGTGGTGACACTTAGGATGTCAATAAATCCGTGTTTTGAAACGATAAGAGGAAGAAGGTGGGAGGTGCTGTTATTTATTTCTTTCTGTTCTTGGAACCACGAATGAGGTAGGCACAAATGCATTCCCTTTAGACTTAAGAACAATGAGGTAGTATGTTAGTGGGACTAGATATAGAACTGAGTTATTTTATACGTTGGGCAAGGGTGATGGAACAGGAGACATAGTATCTTTGTGTTGCAGCCTCAACCAACAATGATGTGTTGTAAAAATGTCTTTCATGTAAAAAGTGCAGTAAATATTTACTATTTATAATGAATAAACAGTTAATGAAAATAAACCCAACATTGTTTTTTTTGGGGGGGGAATGGGTTTTTTTGGGTCACTATAGAATGAATAAAAAGGTGACCAAGGGACGCACCACAGAGCAATTCTCCTACTGGTCCCTTTCACATGCGACTGTGACACGGTCAGCAGAGTTCCGTATAAACATAAGATGCCGGCTTCAACATATTCTGCAGGACCTATTTTACAATGTCAGAAATGTGGAATCTTGAACTGACCCCTCCCCTGTCTACTCTTTTTGGTTCTCTCAGAGATGGCAAATCCCTTCAGTATCATTTGGAAGTATGTGCCCCATTGCACCAGGTTCTATCCCCAAAATTCCCCTTCATTGAACATTTTATTTAAAAGACTTTTAGCAGCTCCTTTCAGCCTTAGAATGAAGTGGTACTGCCTATTTCATTGTTTCCCTTTCTCCTCCTTTCTCCCTTCCTCACTCCTTATTTCATGACACTCTACATACGTTAGGCATAATACTAGACACTGCTATTGTGATGACACAAAGTGTTGAGGCAGAGGTGTGAATTGTAGTTGGAGGCTGCTCATTTGTCCCCGGCTGCTCAGACCTCAAGTAATCACACAAAACCATATTATTTGCAATACTGCTTGGCCAATAGCTTAAGCGTACTTCTAGCTAGCTCCTTATATCCTAAACTAACCCATCTCCATTAATCTGTGCATCATCACGAGGTTGTGACCTACAGGAAAAGTTTTCACGGGCTCCAGCAGAGTTGTCTATCTCCTCTGGCCGATACATGGCTTTTCCATGACTCCGCCCACCGTCTCTCTACATCTCTGTTTGGGTTTCCCACCTGGCTCTACTCTGTTAAGCCATTGGTTGAAAACAGTTTTATTCACTAGCCAATAAAAGGAACACTAATACAGAAGGACTTCCCATATCATATTTCCTTTTCTGTCTAAGTAAAAAAGGTTTTAAATTTAACATAGTAAAATTACATATAACAAAACAGGTATCAAGCAAGAATTACAGTTGAAATATTTATATTTACTTTATCTTTTATCATAACTAAGGAAAACTATAACTCTATCTATTCTTCAACTACATCAAAGACTCCAGAAGGATATAGTACTTAAGTAAACAGGAAGTGCATTGTAAGCAATCTCCAAAAATCTAGAATTAACAGAAACATCTTGCCACCTGGACAGTCACCCGAAGTTCCTTCGTATTATTGGGGCATCCAATCTTTAGCCCCCACACACATAGTATCCAGTAGACTTTTCCATGAAGCAGGAAATTTGAAGATCTCTTCTGCCTCATAATGGCAAAGTCCATTAGTTGCTTTCTTCTGTGTCCTGCAGAGTGTTTAGCAGACTCCTTCATGAAGCAGGAACCCTGAAGGACAGTCTCACCTTTAGGTTAAGTACAGCAGTCATTTTTCTGTGGGTCCTGCGTGTCCAGTTCATACAGCAAACATCAAACAGTCCAGGCAAGAGCAATCTCTTGCCCAAATGGCTAACAAATTCCATAAGGAACCTCTTTGATACCCATCATCCTGTTGAAGTAATTGGTACTTCCACGAACAGATGTGTCTCAGTGAATGTTTTGTTTCAACACATTCTGACAATTGTTATTATGAGGGAATTAAACACAATATCCATGGAAGCTTTTGTATTAAATTATTCTTAATGTCTCATGTGATGTCATTTCATGTGTGCAACAGCCAAATATGGCCAGAAATTGCTGTATGGCGTAGCATTGCTGTAGAACATTCTGGAACTTTGTTGCAGAAAGTTCTGTCAGCCAACTGACCTAAAACATGCAGGATTTTATGCATTCTAACATTTGTTGTACGGTGGGTAAAAGTTTTAAAATTAAAAAATTTCTATTCTCTTTTTAACTTCTACTTGTCCCTCTGATCTTTTTGTCCTGACAATTATCTTTTCAAAAAATAATGCAGTCATAGGAAAGGAAAATAATTGTCATGGACTGCTTAGATTTTATCATTTCTCACAGAAATTCTGTGAAGTAGACGTCATTAGCCCTACTTAACACATGAGTGGACCCATGCCCAGAGTTGTTAAGTAGTTGGGCCAACACCAAAGACCAGGAGACACAGAGCTCAATGTCTACCAAATATCGCAGTAGAAGCCATGTAATTTTATTTCGCCAAATGCTGTCTCCAATACCCATTTCATTATGTCAACCTACCCTTGTGCCAAAACCCAAGTTAAAAACAGGCATCAAAAAAAGCAACTCATTCTCAATGCACAAGAGACGTGCTGCCAGGACTCGGATTTCACAACAGAAGCTGCTCTTCCCAGAGCCCTCTCCTGTCTGCTCCTGACCTAAGGACCTGCCATGTGTGGCCCAGCCCTCTCTCTGATATATTTCTCTCTGCCCTTCTCTTATTTCTGGATGTCTTCGAGGTTCTCTGCTGGCAACTCTCATGTTCAAAGTAGCTATAGATCTTTCTTCCTCTGATTTTTTTTTTCATCTAATCAATCTCCAGGCAAATGAACTCCTGACTTCTCCCCTGGGTTGGAGTCCCTACTCTTCATCTTTTGGGACAAGTCACAGAGAGGGCTCTGAAACCCTGATATTTAACTAAGCTTGACCCTGCTTATTTGTGAAGTTGCCCCTGGATCACATCATCACTCACATGCCTTTAAAAAGCTAAAGGTGAAAACTACAAATCAGAATTAAAGATTGTCACATCGTGGTCATCCTGTGGTCGGCTTGATGAGCCATTCATAAGCAGTTTCACAAAGAATAGGCACCATATTTTACAAATATATTCCTCTAATTAACACAATCTGGAGGTATATTTAAGCACACACGCACATGCATACACACATGAATATTTAAGCACAGTTGAAAGGGATGCCTATATATGCTGGCATACAGAAACAAGTTTATGAACAAGACCACTGGTTCATGGTTGTGAGTTTAGAAATGGCAGAGAAGATGGGTGAAAGAGCGATCTGTATGGATAAGGCATAGAAAAATCTGTTCTCACAGTGCATCAGTTAGAGTCATAGAACCAGACTATGATATAGAACCATATCAGTACATAGGACCAGAAACAGGGTCTATAGAAGGACACTGACTCTGGGGATAAAGAATTGGGCCTCATTTATTATGAGCGAATGTTTTTGATATTCAACTATCATTTGAACATAGTTAACATCACACAAGAAAATGCACTAGTGCCGTATAACTGGAAGTTTCTCTCCTGCCTGCCATTTCTCAGATAACCACTCTGAGGATTAGTATTAATTAAAAGCTGTTGACCTGTTAGCTCAGGCTTATTATTAACTAGCTCTCATTACTTAACCAATTTCTATTATTTCATATTTTACAACAATGCTTGTGATTTGTTACCTCACACCTTGCTGCCCTGACTGCTGCTGGCACATCTCCCTTGACCCCACCTTCTTTCTCACTGTATTTCTGCTTGAATTTCCTGTCTGGTCCTATTCTGCCTGGCTATTGATCAAATCAGTTTCTTTATTAACCAATGGTAATAAGACATATTCACAGCATACAGAAGGGAATCCCACATCAGTGTCAGGAGGCAGTGTTTATGACAGACTCTAGGTGTAGACAAGCATTGAGGAACA